CGGGGCGCCTTCCCTAGTTGGCTCACTCACCAGCTGTGTCAGGAAGTTGTCTTCACACACTCCAGGAACCTCCTGGACTGTTTCCTCTCTGCTGTGTTGTATTTCCAAGACATCTGCCCATGAGAACAAGGGCTAGCAATCATGAGATATGGGGGATACGGGAGCCAAACCAAATCATACTAGATAGATCCGTTCACAACGCCATGGGCATGTCAGGAATGTGGCTAAAAGACAGAGTAACCCTTCCAATGAAAAGATGACCTGAAGATGCATAAGTGGATATTTAGGTAAGATACTTATCTGTCTTTTTTTATTTATCAAGCCAACCACAACCAAAGACAAAAGCCTAGCAGCTAAACCGCCCAGAGTTCCTACCAGCCAGCCTATCTAGGGCAACATTAGAAGTGTTGCTCCCACTGTGCAAGGATGCACAGCAGGTCTGTACTGTAGAAGGGATGCTCGAATACAGGGGAAAGGGCTGGGAAAGCATTATTTTGAGGGGGGACAACTCTACTGAAGGGTGGAGGGTAACAGTTGAATGTAGATGCAAATATCTTAAGACAGTTGGATTTATGGGGAAGCAATCTTCAGAAGCTCTTTAAAGTACCTTTAGTTTCTTCTTACTATTCTTTAAAACCAGTCTAAGGAGATAGGAAGGTCACTTGTTCAGGCACTTGGTGGTTTTTTAGTTTTGGTTTGGTTTGATTGTTTTACCCCTTGATTTGGTAGTGGCATCCATCACAACTAGGAACTGAATCCAAGCATCTTAAAGACAGGAGAGCAAGACTAGCACGACAGTCTCTGTGCTGTGTCAGCAATTTTTTTTTTTTTTAAGTATGGGTAGTACAAAAGTGTTAGCAGGAGTACAAATTGAGTATTTCCCACCCCCCCTCCACTTACAGAACGTCTGCTGAAAGTGAGTTAGTGTTGGTGCTTCTGGAGCAACATTGTAGAAATGGGTCTTCAGAGCTCCACTCACAAGCAGGTTGTATGCGAGGTCTGTTATGTTAATGCCCACAATAGCAAAAGAATAGCTGTAAGAAAAAGAAGCAGCAACATTTGTGAAGAGTTTGTAGTCTTTCAGCACACTGTAAGAAACACTGATGACACTGACACTGCAGATTTTGTGTGCTACTGAGGTGTATTAATTCTCTCCTTTGTGAGCTTCCAAGGTAGGGGGGTGGAAAACAAGAAAAACATTTATCCTGCCTGCTTTGTACACTCTAATGACAGCGTTTCCCTTGTGAAACATATGGTCACAGAGAAAACAGGAGTTTCATCACTGTGCCAGCATTTTCAGTGGAGCAGCACAGATTCATTCCTACAGAATAAGAACAAGCCCAGGTGCCCCTGTGCTCCTGCACTCGCCTCTGACACAGGGCAAGCACTCCACACAGTGGCTGTGTCTGCAGGGTGACCCATCATTTACTATTTTAACCCATCTGCCCCACTGGAATTCATTACCCACAATTAGGAACATCAGGTTTCAACAACCAGTCCTATAAAGGCATCCATATAGCTAAAAAGCCTGTGAAAAAGATCCAGCTGAGTCACCTCCAATTTCTTGCTAACAGAGAACTAGATACACAGGCCAGAAAACAGGCAAAAACCTATATCAGAGCATGCTGGAAAACAGAAATAAGAAAATCAGACTCATGAAGCAAACCCCTGTCCCGCTAAGAGATATCAACAAATAAAGTATATTTAGGCACAACAGAACTCAGAAATTGGAAGTTATTTCTTAATTTGTGAGCCTGTTGCATGAAGAACTTGACATTTCTGGCAGTGACTATTTCCCAAGAAAACATATAATGTCCCACACTGACATTTAGTGATAAAAACAAACTTGTTTAGTTTTTTAGTGATTTTTTTTTTCCTCCTCTAAACACAGTTGTCTTCTGTAGACTGTCCTGGGTATTTTTTCAATTACCTTTATCAAGCAAACCTTTCTTTAACCTTTGATATATTTCAGGAAGAAAAAATAATAAATAAAAGTCCAGAAGTTAACTGCAATGTGAGGGCTAATGGCAAGTTTCACCAAAAAATGAAATACGTGCATTAAAATGTTATATTACAGATTTTCAGATACACTCAGAAGGAACATCCAGTTCCATACTCATGAATAATACAGCTATACCAAACCCACTGCTTAAGAAAAAACCTCACTATTCTTTCTTCCCTATATATATATATACTTTCATAAAAGCAGATCAGAACCTGGCTCTGACAGTAAGAAGTAAGACTTGATCACATTAAGAAGAATTAGATATTCATCACTGCACTATTTATAGCATACAGAGGAAGCTTCTTCCTGCTACAACATTCTTGGGTTATTTTTCCTAATTCTTACTTCAAACTGTTTTTCCTGTAATCTTTGATCAAAATCAAGTTGTGGTTAAGACAATACATGTTAGTACGTATGCTGAAATTTCCTTTAAAAAGTAACCAGGAAACACCTTTTTCCCCTCAAATATACAGCATCATTGTTAACTGTTGTGTTTGTGGCAACTTTAAAATGATTTTTAATCTTACCCGATTGCTTTATCAAACTTTTTCTTCTCCCATTCGGCTTTGCTGAATTGGCCGAGGCAGAGGGCGGAAAAAAAAAAAAAAAAATTAAAATCCAGCTTTTATTAGATTTTTTTATATGCATTACTAACTGACAAATATTTTCTTTCAATTTGATATTATAACATTGACTGAACATGGTATTTTACCTCCATTGATATAGTTAATCACATTTAACTCTGCTTCTGACTGAATAGATTGGTATAAAAAGACTTGAAGTGGGTAACTGGCTTTATAGCATTGCTGATAAACTTGTCTCATCATTACAAAGTATGTGCCTACGTCAATGCTCTCGGTAAACGCCAGTTATTTTCTATATTGACCACAAAGATTTTCCACTTCAATTAAGCCTGAGCTATACAAAAAGTTAAAAATATTACATTTCTTTTAACTAATCAAAGATGGTTTTAGCCTTTTGTGTTTTCAAAAGCTATACGTGACACTCACCACTGGAGGCATGATTCACCTGAGGCAGCAAACATGAAAAATGCTCCTCTGATAGAAAGTTTTTATGTCCAGCCAAATTAGAAACCACTCAGCAGCCAAAAATAAGGAACAGTATTTCCTATTATTTGGCACAATAATGCAGAGCTTTTCAAGGACAAAGAAGGTCCCTCCCTTAAAACAAAATTAGTTAGGGAACAGATTGATTTTAGACTAAATTTCTGCTGTTCAGCAACATTTTCATTTAAAAGAGCTGTGTGATGCAACCAGTCAGCCGACATCCCACTAACCAGGTTTTTATCTACCCAAATGGAGCAAGTTTAGCAGAAATCATTGCCTGCATTTATCACCAGCTAAAAGCAGGCACGGAATTGACCCTGACCAGTGGGCTACAACTTAGACATGCCTGTGGGAGTTTTGCCTTGGTAAGGCAGATCAGAGTTTGCAGGCTTTGGATCCTAAATTATAGACAGCTGTATGTGAAAGCATTGTTCTTGGACTATACTTGAACTACAATAACCATATATTACACTAAAAACAATCCCCTGAGCATCATGTTAATGTAGTATTTTAAAATTGTTGCCATTAAGTATTAAAGATGCTAATAGGTTCATACCCATCCTGACCTGAGTGTTACCGGGTGGCATGCGTGAGGACAAAACTTCACCCTATGGCTTAGCATACAGGAATACATCAGTCTTCACTCATTCTCTAAAATCTTAACCATCTTTGTAGGCTGTGGCATAACATCAGTTAAAAAACCCCAGGCAAACATTGAATAATAAACGATGGCACATGTAGGATGTGGACAAGCAATACAGTTCAACAGAAATAGAAATTACATTGATCATGATCACATCAGTAACCAGCACGGCTGCTAAGCAACCACACCAGGAAGAACATAACGGGCACCGCCAGCATCTTCTACCGAATGCTCTTTCAAGGAATAGAAATTGCACATGCTCACAGAGCACTCCAAGATGGTCATTGGTAATCAAACATGTAAATGAAGAACACTAATGTGTTCCAAGCGCTTTTTGTCCCAGAATTACCACTGGGAACTCAGCCACAAAATACTGAGGAGATGAAAAGCTTCACAGGATTCAGATGTGGATCTGCTATATGGATATCTAACATTACTGGCAGAAGAAAAATGTTTAAGGCAACTGATTACTATGTAGCTGGCTAAAAGGCATCTCCCTGCCCCCCCAGTAATTATGGAATAAATCTCCTATTCACAAGTCATTCACAACACAAAATTTTTGCCACTTGAAGGTACCTTATCTCTCAGCATCAGGACAATGGACTAGCCAGATTAGACCCATCATTAGTCAAGGCAGACAGAGTATGTGACTATAAATAAAGGGGCTCTTCAGCTGTGCTAACAAGTCCTTGGCCTAGACTACTTTTGATTATCAAGTCAGTCACCAGCTGTTGTGACCATAGTGGCACTGCTTAGACTTTTTTCCTACAGGTAAAAGCCACTCAAAATTTGTTCATTAAACCTGGTACTAAATAGGTCTAAAATACAGTGCTTTAGCTACATCAAGCAATGTTGATTTCATTCTTTATATATAAGCATGCTCAGATGTATCCAGTGTTGCACCATCAGCTACGTTTGAGTTAACTTTAGAGAAAGGAATATGGATCTCTTGGTGTTGCAACAAAGACTTTCAGTTTATAAACCATACTGCAATTTGCCGTGTTAATTGTTATTTACATGTAGGGTCTCATAAAACTAAGAGAAAAGAAAAAAAAAATACCTTAGTTCCTTCTTAGTGACTTCCCTTCATTATGAAAAGACAAAAGAATTAAAAGAAAGGTAAATAAAAATACAAAATCACTTGAAGTTAGAAGTATAAGTGAAAACATTTAACACTAAGTTTAACTATTTCTAAGATTCAGTATACAAGTTTGCCTCTTGGACTTGATCAGTTTTCAGGATCAGTACTTGAAAACAGATATCATGTGGCAATACCCAAGCATATGCCCAACAAAAAAAACCAAACCAAACCAAAACCAAAACACCAGCTCCCTCCCCCAAACACCAGCCAGCACGGTGCTCTCTCAAGTTATTTTTTTCTGGTCTCAAGCATTACCTGTATTTAGGCTGAAGAGAATCAGAGAGAACTTGCTGAGCTATCTCAGTGTCCCATTCGGCAAAATACCTGCAGATATATATGTTCAGGGTGAATTGTTAAAGAAGCACAACAACAAAAAAAAGCATCTTAAGTCATACTAAGCTGTCCATACACACACTTTGAAAGGTCACTACATGTGTTATGCAGTATGAGTAGCATTTAACATGTTAGGTTCATTAAGCTACCACTCAGACCCCCAAAATGAAAGATAAAAGCAGCTGCAAATTACAAGTGCAATCCTATAAGTGCTTAGTGAATGTGCATTACCAGAGTCCCCTTTCTACCCACCCTACAGAAAATCAGTTGCTTATTACTAGAGCATGGTCTGAGCTCAAGGGAAAGCAGTTCAGGCTTCTTGATCTGGCAGATTCATTAAGCAAGATAAGAGTCATCACAGGAGACTAAGAAATGAAATACATAGAAGGGATTCATCTCCAATGGAAGTTCAAAGCCAGAGTCAGGAGTCCAGGTCCTCAACTGAGCTTTGCTAGAGAATGACATACGAACAGTGGATGGTTTATGTCCTTCAATATGTAAAAGCAGAAAATATTTCTTTTTGCCCTCATAGGGAGAGATTATTTCACCAAATGTTTTTAAGTTATGTAACTACCTGCAGTAGATACAAGGGCTGGAGGAAGTAACAGACATTGATCAATTCCCAAATTACCAACCACAGACGTGGTACCAACACCTGGTGTGCATGAGGCAGAAGGGAAAAGTGATGTAAACTCACTGCTTAATTTTGAGTATTGACAGAAACTGAAGAAGTAGTCTAACTACAGAAGTCTGCCATCAGTGGCTGCATTTCAAGTGTTTTGCCTAAGAATTCAGCATGAAATTCCCAAACAAGAAAGCTGAGCAATAACATAACCCTCCCACCTACCCACTTCCAGGGCATTTTGTTTAAGGAGATCTAGATATTGGTGAAAATATACATTAGTTTCTTTCTCGTGGGAAGAGAGTGCTAACTTACTGTATCACAGAGAAACTAAAAAAAGGGCTTAGCAAGCAGTATTACCAAGTTGAGTTAGGAATACTGAAAGAAAGGAGACCCCTTTGAGAAGAGAAACCCTCAAAAAATTGGGCTAGCAAATAAATTCTTTCATTTTTTTAGATGAAGTCCCTAACACTTTTTAAGTTATTCCCACAGACTTGCTAAAAATCTGCAAGTAATGCTGCTTTTCATGACTTCAGACACCCATAAACCCATCTACAGAGGAACATACTTACACCAAGTTATATAAGCCCAGGAGACCCATCCCTCTAAAGTCTGTTTTAGGATCGTCACCTTGGAAACCAATTTCACACCACTGCTTCGAAATCCGAGCTTTCAGTGGCGAATTGGGCTTCAAGCATTTCCACAACTAGGAAGATTACAGGTAAAACATAATTAAACTTCCACACATTAGTATGGCTTTTTCTTCTTTTTAAACCAAGCTAAGTTCTGATGTAACATCACTGCATTGCTATCTCAGCAACCCAAACATAAAATCAAATTAAATTCCTGGGGGTGAGGAGGTTGGGGGGGGAATCCCAAACCACTCTTAAGTATTGCAGACGTTTCAGCCCTACAAGGCCCTTCCAACCTTATCAGCAGCTGCTGTAACATCTTGCACAAGGACTTGTTTTGTTCACACTTTGTGCATCAAACTAGCATCTGCCTCCATAAGCACAGAGACAGGAATGGGCTGGAATTTGGTTGTAAATCACTGACAGAGCGGCAGGCAATCGGCCCTCAGGTCCCTGAGGCTCTGCAGCAATCTTTTCTCTGGCACCTTTTGCAAGTCTCTGGAAGGGTTATAAATCAAGAGTGCTGACTTGGCTACCACAGTGCTGAAAAGCAAACGGAGAACATGGGAAAAAAAATCCATACAAGAATAGCATGTGCCATCTTCATATTTAATTAAGGGGTGAATCATTCATTAATCTCACATAAAAAAAAAGACAAAGTGATTTAACAAGCCAGATCCTCAGCTAGAATAAATCCACTTAGCTGCACTGGTCCAGTGACTTTAGTGCCTAAATACCATGTTGCTAGGCACCTAAAAGCAGCCTAAATTAACATGTTGACAAATACATACCTTTCCACACACTTCATCTGCCACATCACAAACTCACCCTTTCCAAAGTGTATTAAGAAATCAGGTGTTCTCTGTAAACCATGAATTGGTGAGTAGGGCCTCAAGAAATGCACTTAGACAAAGCCTACCCAAGGGAGAGAGCTATATGCACACTTCCCAAATAAACAACCCAGAAATTGTATTAATTTTAGAAATTATAACTGCATTTAAAATGAAGTGCCTTTGGAAGGTTAAAACTTTAATGATTTCACTTTGTAATGACTGCATAAAGCATCATTGTTTCAATCATATTTGCTATCTTTCTTGTTCATCCATTGACAGTAAATACAGTATTATTCATTAGTTCAATCACATTAAGTTAATCTTTCTCTCATTCATAAAGTACCCTCCTGGTAAACATGAATAAATGATAGACATTAGGAACTCAAATTACGCGCTGCAGAGATCACTTAGCAGAATATCTAGAAGGAATGGAAACCAACTGGCCTATTCTTCCTCAGCGTGGGTTGGAAACAGAATTAAACCCTTGGACATATTTCCACTTGACATGAGAATTCACAAAAGCAAAACACCTGCTGTAAACAAGTACTAATACACAGGTTACATTGGAGGCAGATGGTGAAACTGATACTTTCCTTCAACACTACAAATTTTACAGCATAAGCTGCACTGTTTAATCTCCCCTCAGACAAATGCTCAGTTTCCATTCTGCTTTTATTCTGCAGGCATGTTTTTAAAGCACTTACGTGACTACACATCACTGCTGACATGATTCTCAGGAGCATCTAAGAACCAGGGCCTGACCCTCACAGGCTGGGTGGCCGGAAAGGAGACCACGGTCAGCTCTTCGGTGCTTCTCACCTGTGATCCCGTCAGACCCAACTTCTTGCTCTCTGGGCAGTGTAGATGCCCAATGTATTTAGGAATGCTTTCCTGGAGCCAAAGGCCCTCGTTAAACCTGCAGCCAGGTATCTGGTATTTTCAGGGGCCAACATTGTAGGCTGGCACCTGGATCTCCTACCTCGAAGGCACAGGCTTCCTCACTGGGTAAATCAGTATGACCTTTTAGTTAAAGGCCACTCTACCCCCAAAAAAGTTGTGCTTTTGGTTGCACAGGGGCAGAACTTGAATAGGAGTCCATCTGCCCCATCCTACCTGGTGGCTAGAGCACTCCTTCAGGGGCAGCTCTGGATTTTGACTCCTCGTCGAGACTCCCACCTCCCAGCAAGGAGCCAACCTTAGAGACAGCCTTCCAGACACCTTCAGGAACTCTCTGACTATTTGAGGCATTTTTTAGAAACAGTTATTTGCATCCTTAAGTGCTTATATAAGATGCCTACTGGGATTTTTGGAAGTGCCTAGAAGCCCAAGTAACTAAGGTAACATTTCCAGAAGCTCCCACTGTAATTTGTGGTGTAAGGCACTACACTGCAAACTGCAGCGTGGAAGACAGCTTCATCATCATCATGTCCTGTAAAAATCCCAACAAACAAAGTTGGATGGGGACAGAAGCAAAGGAATTGTTTAAGTTTTCAATATTTTTGTTTAAAATAATAAAAAATCCCCACCAAACAGGTGGTATGTTTTCATAAGACATTTGAAAATTCTGTAAAAAGGCATTTTGCTTGTAGACAAGCTCATTATCACTATTCTATGTTTCTTGCCATTTCTCTGAAACATCTTGCACTAGCTATGGTCTGAAATAGGATCAGAAGAAATACTGAGACTTGCTATTAGACTATTTTCCAACCCCTTTATTCTTTCCTCAATTCCTTTCTAATATAAGAACTCTCTAGCTCTCCCTCTGCTTATGGCTTCAAGATCACCTTCCTGAAAAATACTTTTATTATCTGCTCCAGTGCAAGGCTTTCCTGAAAGCATGAAGTATGTAAAACCCAATGGGTATGGTTTTCATCACTGTGCATTATCTAAAGAATGGTTTCATTTTGTTTTCATTTGAAAATATATTTGGTAAATATAAATGTGTAAGTCATCATCTCTCACCCTTCCATCCACACAATGAAAGCTAGAGATTTGCCATTGGGATACACAGACAATGTCTTCAAAAATACAAGAAATTGAAGAAAAAAACCCCCATTTATTCTGGTTAAGAGAGAAAAATACCCTTCTCATGTTGAAGAAAGGGGTACTGAAGTAGGACATAGTGCTATTTTTCCAGTGCTCACAGCGCAGAGCTGTTGTCTGCAGTAAGAGCTGGGTATCCAGTGCCTAGACATAGTCCAGCCAGGGGACACGCTTTCATCAACCAGGGAACAAGCTGCTTGCTTGGCAGGTGTTACACCCAGGCTAGATTAACATGCTGGATAGCCTTATCTTACAAGAGGTACACGATAGAGGAAGGCAACAATACCGTTTGACGCTTTAAAAAAGTATATAAACCAGGCCGTTTGGAGCTGACATGAGTAAAGGATGCTCTCTAAGTACCTCTTAAGCACCTACCTTCAGAAGCATTTCCTCATGTTGCGGATTCTCTGAATCATACGGCTCTCTGCGCAGCTTTTCAACCTCTGCAATCAGATTTCTGTACCCCATAGAGGAAGGCAACAATACCGTTTGACGCTTTAAAAAAGTATATAAACCAGGCCGTTTGGAGCTGACATGAGTAAAGGATGCTCTCTAAGTACCTCTTAAGCACCTACCTTCAGAAGCATTTCCTCATGTTGCGGATTCTCTGAATCATACGGCTCTCTGCGCAGCTTTTCAACCTCTGCAATCAGATTTCTGTACCCCACAATCTGCAGCAGGCATGCCTGAAGAGATATTCCCAACCTGGGGGGGGGGAGGAGGAAACTAAA